ATTGAAAGAATTTTATTAATCACAAAGGATAAGAAAGTACAAGCTTCCTAGGGAGAGGCACGAGATGCGACCTCTCCATACTAGTCAAATACAGATTTCCTATACTCTAGAACAAGTTACAGGGTAGCACAAAAAAGATCTTCCCTGGAAACCCCAAGTTTGGCCAAAGAATCAGCCATAGTATTTGCCGACCTGCTCACCCATTTAACATCCACTCTCGTATTATTGGTTAGCCACTTCACTTTTTTGAGGAGGTCTCTGTATTCCCAAATGAAAGCATCAGGGTTAGAGAGTCAGCCTATTACCACCTGAGAATCCCCCTCTACCAGCAGATGTTCCACCCCAAGCTGGTTGGCAATTTGGATCCCTTGTACAGCAGCTAGTACTTCTGCCCTTGTAGAATCTCCCACTCCCACTGGTCCTAAGAAGAAGGAAATAATGTTTCTGTCCTTATTCCTCAGCGCACCCCCAGGCCCTCTATACCTGAGGGCTCAGGGTTACCTTGGCTGCTCCCATCAAAGAGATTAAAACCAGTACAAGCAACCCTTGGAGAGGCCGGAGTTGTGATCTCTCTCATTACATAGGTCAATACAAACTAAAAAAGACTCAGATTACAATTGAGTCCAGTACAGCATAATCTCTATTTGTCCCTTGTTTGGCTAAAAAATCATCCATAGCATTTGCTGATCTCCCAACCCATTGTAATCTTCAGTTCATATTTAGTTGTCTGAAACCAAGAAGGTTCAGACCTGTCTAGTAAGAAAAATAAACCAGAAAATGAAGAGGAGAAAGGGGAAAGAAGAGAAGAGGATGAGAAGAGAGAGGAAGAGAAGAAGAGGAAGAGAGAACAGAAAAGAATGTCAGGGTTCGGCTTGCTTAGTCTGCCACCCCAAATGATGTTTAAAATATAAGGTTTTCAACATCAAGTGTACAATGATAGGAATGCCTGTCACTAGAAATAACAAAAAAAAAAAAGATTCTAACAGTCTTCTAACAGCACTATAGACAAGAAAAACATATGAGCAGGTGGGGACCACAAGCTGGTGAACCATTTTCTCTACATATTTCTTGTATACCATTTGAATTTCTTAATTTCATTCCTAAAGCACCATATGATAGAGTCCGGATCTTGCAGCCGTCCTGCCACCGCCTTACAATCTCCTTCAATTATTATGTTTTCCAACCCAAGCTGATTTGCAATTTAGATTCCTTGTAGTGGAGCAAGCAATTAAACCCTATTAGAATCTCCTTCCCCTACTGGTCCATAGAAAAGTGCTACAATGTTTCCATCCTTGTCTCTCACTACCCCTCCTTCCTGAAGGGGCATGGGTTGCCTTGACTACTTCCATCAAAATGCAGCTTCAAGTAATCTTCCGGAAGTGATGTCCAAAAAAGATTAACCCTATCCTTCTTGGAGCTGCTATTGGCCACCTCAACCCAGTTTCTCCAGATATCATCAATGGAAAATTGATGAAAACAGAGTTTTTAACCAATGTATTACCTGAGTCAACCCACATTCCTTTAGTTCTTACATATTTCCCTCTTCTTGAAAAATTCTTGCATTTCTCTCTTCCCAAATGGACCAAATCAGTGCTGTTCTTGTACACCTCCACATTATCCTTTCTCTCCTTTTAGCCCACACAAAGGTGGACAGGTCAAATAACAAACGTATCTTTGAAGGTTGATTCCACTTGCACCTGAACAAAGAGAGCCAATCCCATAATTCTGTAGCAATAGGAGTGATAACGATCCTCCCCATTAGATTTGCAAAGAATACACCAGTATGGGGATAAACATAGAAAGGGTCTTTTATTTTGGAAATTCTCCAAGGTGTTTACATTCCAATAGAACACTTCCCAGCAAAATGCATTAACTTTCAGGGGAGGGACAGACCTACACCAAACTTCCCTGAAAGGGAACACTTGAGGATTAGGGGACTGACAAAGAGACTTGAAGAAGCAAACACACGAAAAGGAGCCCTTTGGATGAGGAAACAAACCTGTCGATTTAGAGAAAGGGGATCCAAACAGACATTACCAAGAGAATTCAAAAGCCTAGTCAGCAGTAAACTCCTCCTCTCTTAACACTTTACGAAAACTGAAGTTCCAATTCCCTAGTAACATGAGGAGAGAGGAACTTCGAGACCACCTCTTATTTATACAAGGAAATAGAATACAAAGAGGGGAAGAGATCCTTAAGAGTAGAATTGCCAACCCACACATCCTCCCAAAAACAAACAGAGTTCTCAGAACACACATCATACCTGACAAACTTGAGAAATTGAGGAAGCAAGCCATGGCTTGCCTTCAAAGGAGTTGCTAAAGTGGCCCGAGGAGAACCACTAGCATCCTAACCATTCTCCAAATGGCCATGAATACTTGCCACCACCTCATGCCACAATCTCTCCCTTTGTAACGGCCATCTCCACAACCACTTACCTAACAAAGCTGCATTCTTTTGAACCACATTCCCTGACCACCCTTATCCTTAGTCTTACACACTATTTCCCTATTAAATGGTCTTTATTACGTCCCTCCGGCTCACACAGAAAATCCCTCATTGCTTTCTCTAGCTTATTTGCTTCCCTAGGAGGGATTCTAAAAATGGATAGGAAGTAGACTAGCAAGAGTGGCTCAAATCAGAGTAATTTTGCCTCCCAAAGAGATATAATTCTTTTTCCCTGCAACCAATCTTTTTATATTCTTCTCCAAAATTGGATACCAAAATGTTCTCTCCTTAGGATCAGCACCTAGGGGAAAACCTAAGTAGGTCAAAGGCCAATAAGTAGTAGAGCACCCTAGACAAGTAGCTAAAGACCCTAAAACCCTCTCCTCCAGATGTTGTGAATTGGCTGTTTGTTCTTCTTTTTTGTTTTGCATAGTAGCAAGTGTGGGAACACGGGTTTGAGTCTGAGGGCTGCCACTTTGTTTGAAAAAAATGCCAAAGGTTAGGATTGTACCCAGTCCACCCCTTCCAAGACCCCAAATAGCTGGGACCAACATTGGGTAATGGCTTTTACATTAGATTTCATAACAAGGGGCAATCAGAAATCAGTTGAACTGGATAATGGTTCTCCATGATGGGGCTTTGTAAATATAGAGGGGTGGTTAGCTAGGGCTATCTGTTCACAGCAGTGCTAGACACATTATTATATGCATACTATTCTTTTATCAGATTTTAATAAAATTCTCTGGTCTTTACTGATAAAAAACATTTGGTTGTTTTTTAACTGGATAATCTGATTTAAATTCCCAGTGATCTTATTATTTGGAAATCATGTAGTTATTGCTTCTGTTCTCCAATCATAGATATGGTTTTTGAGCTTGTTAGTTTGTATGATCAGCAGTGTTCTTTATTGTGGGCTTTAATATGTTTTGTTTTACACTTAGTGTATAGGCTGTCTTGGACTCAATGGTATGTACATTTGGAAGGGGGAGAATGGCGGCCATGGTGAGGCTTTTGGAAACTGGAAAATTTTCAGAAATTACAGCAGGTACCGTAAAAAGTTTTGGATAAATGTTTCTAGGACTATGGCTTATGACCTTGTACTGTAGAACATGGAAATGACTATGCACCTATTTGATGGGTGGATAGGTTCAAAGAGAAAAGTATGTGAAAAAACATAGGAGTTACAAATCAAATATAAGAGAATTAAAAAGACTGTAAAAAGGTGAAGTGTCTTTCAATACTGATAATGTTATGGGCCCGAGCGTAGGATCGTGTCACGGGTCGTTCCACGGCAGGAACCCCTGATCTTCCCTTGCCTTTGGTCTTACGCACTGACCCTATTTTGCCTATCTAGTGGGTGATTTGTCCAAGAGACCACCCGAACTCTCCCTTGGGGTGATTTGTCCAAGAGACCACCCAAACT